AACTGGACTTTCTGGTTTTTCTTTAAAGACATTCCACTTCTCATGCAAAAGGCTTCTTCAGCTCTGACTAGATGGTGGGGAATGGAAAGATTTATACTCCTTGCAGACAGCTGGTCACTTGCATTCCTTTTAGAGAGCTGTTGAGGCAACCTGTAGGTTTATCTATGTCATCAGAGTCACTTGAGGAGTGGAAATGGGTGTGGAGCCTTCTTGGAACTGTTGAAAGGACTGTAGATTGGAGATAGATGATGTCGTATCCCTCCCCTTCTGTATCAATTTTGATATAGATGGCCTCTTTGACTCCTCTTTCAAACCGAAGGTCCTCTCTAGCGAAAATGTGGACATTGCTGTCTTCAAAAGAGTAGCTTGTGTCTTTTAAATGCAGATGGGCTGAAAGGTATGAAAGGTACTTAGAAGAAGAAGCTAAAAATTAAGTACTGTAACACATTTTGAACGACATTTTTTCCTTGGGCCTCTTCGTATTGCTATATTCACTTTCATGTTTTTTATGTCAGTTCAAGTGGTACAGTGCTGTCATCCACTTTTCCTCTTGAATTAATTTTGGAATCACTACCAGGACAAACCCTTTGGTGCTTGAAAATAGGCAGCCTGTTGTTTTAATATGCTGGCTTCCCTTCTGGCCCCAACTATTACTATTATTCTAGATAGGTTTTTCTCCCAGAGGTAACAATATTAGACGTAGCCCACTGTTAGGAATGGCTAGGAAGCCTGTAGAATGGACTTCAGGGTGATACACAAAGCAGAAGACATTAGTTTCATATACTTAAAAGGCATATCTGCAGACCAGATTAAGATACATCTATTCAGCAGGTTTTCCAAGGCAGCTTGCCAGCAGTTTCTGGAAACCAGACTGAAATATGGGATGACAGCCATCCCAGTGTCTAAGGGTATAACGTCTACTGCTTGTTTTCCTTCCTTTGCTAGATTTTCTTTTTGACAATATTGAACAGCACTTGTTGCTATGAGTTTCTGAACACCGATACATCCCCCCAAAAAATGTGGGATGTGGGATTAGATTGGGGAGGAAGTGATAGCATAAAGGTGAGGCAGGTGCAGACATCTGGCAGCTCCCAGTTTCATCCTCTGTCATCTCTGTCATCTCCACTTAAACTGCATATTAGGTAGTAGGAATGTGAGGTTTTATTCCCTGAGTCATCAATCTAGGAAACCTGCTCTTGAAGGAAAATACAATCCTGGACTTGGCAACCTCATAGGGGACAGCTTCACAGAGTTGTATGTAGGTCAGCTGAATGACACAGCAAACACAACCCATTTTTTTATAAAGATGTTCTCGTTAACATTCAGTAAAGTAAATATTACAGTCATATACACATGCTTACTCTAAAGGAAACCTAAACCAGATTTATCAGGCTCATTTTTCCATACATCTGCATGGCATCCCCCACCAACACCAGTCCAACTGAGATGGATAAGTATCAAAATTACAACCAGCAATTATTTCGGTCTAAAACAGAGTGGCTAGCATTTGATCTACATTTGTGTGCATTCTCTGACATTGCATATCATGAAACAAGGTTGTATCCAACATGTGGATACCTGAAATTCAGTTAAAAGAATCACCATGTCCTTCTAAAGTTCCTAGATATTATGTGAGAAAGTTTTAATGATTAAACTGGACACCGGTTTCCAGCTACTCCAGTCATGTCATTTATTTTGCATTCTCCAAATTTCAAGTATTTTACATTACCTATTTGATTAAAATTGTAAATCCCTGCATCATGTTCACTCTGTACTACACATTTATCGGATTGATTTTTCAAATGCCTATGGAATGAGTATTGAAGGGACGCTGCGGCTCAGTGGCTAAGATGCTGAGCTTGTCGATCTTGTCGCTTGTTGGCAGTTCGGCGGTTTGAATCCCTAGTGCCGCATAATGGATTACTTGTCCCAGCTTCTGCCAACTCAGCAGTTCAGAAGCACGTACAAATGCAAGTAGAAAAATAGGAACCATCTTTGAGGGGAAGGTAACAGCATTCCGTGTGCCTTCGACATGTAGTAATACCGGCCACATGACCATGTAAATGTCTTCAGACAGCACTGGTTCTTTGGCTTAGAAACAGAGATGAGTACTGCCCTCTAGAGTCAGGAACGACTAGCACATATGTGCGAGAGGAACCTTTACCCTTACCTATGGAATGAGCATTATTTATAAAGATAGCTTCACGAAATGTTGGGATTTATTGTATTCGGTTAAAACTTTCCCAATTTCATCTAGAA